ATTTCAGTAGTTGCATTCTTGCTCGAAGCAAATTTGTGTTTTTCAAGAAGTTACTTTCAGTTTGTTATTCTCCTTATCTGATATATATTTTTTGGCAAAATAACAAAAATGAATTACTGTTGGGTTTTGGTTTTTTTTTTTTTTGTTTTTGTGGGGTTTTTTTCAGATGTGTGATACACTGTGTATCTAAAAGAATATCACTATAGTTGAATTACTGATTTTAAAAAAACTGGGGAAGAGTAAGAATTAAAGACAGAGCAAAAACATTAGAAGAACAATTCTTTGTTTAGTCTTTATGTTATATTCAATCATATCTGCTTACAATTTTTTAAGGAGTAAGATCTCTGGGATAGTGATTAACCTCAAGAGCATACATACAACAAATTGCTAAAACATCTGAAATGTGTTGAACTTACGTCAGCAGCCCAGTTTCATGGCCCTTAGTTCCTACTGAACTACTCAAATTGATGACTAAACGTAACACTTCCTTCCGCAGAAGTATTCTGCACACTGGTGTATCATCTGGGATTGATTTTACTCCTGGAAAAATAAATTAAACAGGATGGATTTTAAACAAAATAATCTTTGTGCTAATCTTATGCCATGTAAGTCTGGTTTAGGATTCCATAAACGCATAAACATGCTTTTATGTATGTATTCTGAACTTTCAACAAATACTTCATTTGAAATTAAAACTTCGGAAAAAAAATGTTTTCAGGAATTAAGACAGAAATATCTTAATAAGGTAAACTACCATTTCATAAATGGAAAAGCCTGTAGGATTCAGTTACAGTGCTGTCTCTATCACTAAACCATGTTGCAAACTGGGTGATTACCTGCCCTGTTCCTATCAGATGCTGCAGAAGTTTGCAAGCAGCTACTTCATAAGAAATTACGGTAATTCAAACCATAAAACACAAGCCTGAAAAAAGGAACGTCCTTCTCTTTACAGAAACTCAGAGCTATTTGATTTAGTAACCTGCAGAAATGTCTCATAGCAAAAGCGACACCTAAAACGTACTTTCAGAGTTAGTCTTTAATAATCAAAAAGCTTCCAAACTTACCTAGCATAAGTTCCGTACTCTTGGTGCTGCTAGCTGAACCATGGGATACTGCATCACTACAGCCTGAAATTCCAGAAAATTTGGAGGAATGCACATCTAAGTGATTGTGTATGGTCTGCCCACACCAGTCAGTATATGGAATGTCTGAAAAATCTGACATAAATATGATATTGCATCTTTGTTATTCACAGTTTTTATCACTTCAAGCGCTTTTCTTATTTTCCAACAATGGTAAGCATTCAAGACACTGATGCATGAAGTACTGTGCATATAAACCATCTGGAGACTAGATGCTGGATTTCAGACAAATCATACTCAAAATGTCTATAAATCACTGGTTTGAATCTGAAAACAGTCAAACTCAATAATCTCTAGGCATTAATAGAAGCCTAGAAAGTGTCACCAAACATAGAGCTCTTATTGATATATCTGTGCTGTATTTTACATAACATAATAAAGATGCTTTTGCATATGTATATTTTTTTGTTCATACAATGCAGGTGTTGCAGAAAGTTGACTTCATCAACAGAAAGATTTGACAAGTAAGATTCTACTGTGAGGTTTCACTATCCACAGCCTTTGGTATTTTTGATTTAAAGAGACATAAAATATCCAAACTTCTAATTGGTGCACAGTTAACAACCACAGAAAAACATAGGTCTGAAGGGACTCCTGCAGATCACAGAGTTCAACCGCTTGCTTAAAGAAGGGTTCACCTCAAAATGAGGTTATGTTACACTGCAAAGAGGTTCCTTCCCCTTACGTTCAACAGGAATTTCTATTCCTACAGAACATGTTCTTGCCCTCCCGTCCTTTGGCTGTGTGCCTGACAAGAGCCTGGCTCTGCCGTACCTCTAATCCCCTTAACGCTACTTGGAGACTACAGCTGGGATTTTATTTGTTATCCCTTGTTGATACCAAACTCAAGCTCAAACTCTGCTCTCTGGGCCATTACTCACATTTTGTATATTGTCCCCTTTGTCAACAGTACTCGATGTGCTACTAGCTTGTGTGCAACACTCTTGTATAACTGTGATTATTCCTATTAGGTATCGATTACTGGATTATCTTTCTACTAGAGATTGCAAACGGGCATGTAGTTGCAAGCTCCGCAGAGGAGGTTATGAAAAATTATACTGAATCTGATCTGAATCTCAAAATATAAAGGAAGATGATGAAATCCCAGGAATTACAGCTCTACTTTAGCAGATTCCTCGGATTTCCTTTGTTTTGTTTTATGGTACAGACTTGCTTTGAAGTCAGACTTTTCATGAGCTTCACAGCAAGCACCAGATTCCAGGACACAGAGTTTAAGTCCTAAATGAGGTTTCAAATTATGTATTTTGATTAGCTCTTAGAAATATTTAAAAAAAATCACGCAGGCACCCAGTCACACTGACACCACTAGAAATAAAAAGCTGGAAATGACCATAGAAATACCACTGGTTGCACAGTGAGCTTACTATGGAGAATTAATTTCAAGGCCAGTAGTCAGTAAGAAAAAAGAAAAACCCTCATAGATTAATACATTTTCAAGATGAACAAAGTTCACTATTTTCCTTCAGTTTCATCACATCTCCCCCCAAGGAACACTAACCTGTACGACCATATGAAGAGTTTGCTTTACTGCTAGGCTGATAACCCAGTATTTGAACACAGACACAGTAAAGGCAGTTCTCATCTGTGTGCTCCTGCAGCCCCGTATCCTCTGTACTTTCTAAAAACTGGGATGCATCTGAACGGCTGGTGTTCATTATTTCTGTGAGACTGATTTGCTGTCGGAGCATCTGAAAAGGGCTTTTGACAACATCACTTGTACCTGATGGAAGACCTGTAGACACGCAATTAGATATCAGCAAAAATCCAAAACCCAGCAACCATTGTTTCAATTACATTTCCCCTTTTAAGCCTGGGGAAGGTATGTGTGTGTGAAGATTAGAAACTTTGAGTGGTTAAGATACCAAGGTTGTTAGCCTTTGGGAAACAGGTATCACATTTTAATCCCAGCTTATCATGTGTAACGAACCATGGCAAAGGACATAATTCAACCTCCAAAAACACATACTGTACGTACTTACTTAAGGTGATGTGTCTTAAGTCCTGAATTATGTCAGCATTAGTAACACCCATGTGACACTAATACATTACCAATTTTCAGAGTCAAACAAGATCAGTACAACAATATACTAATGTTTAAACAACATATGCACCAATGAACACAGAAACACAATTAAAAACCCCTGTAACTTAGTAGTAGGAAGAATCCTGCCTGTAGTAGGAAGAAACAAGACTCAACAGTGCAGAAACAAGCTGAAGACACTATAGTAACATGCTCTTCCCTAAATGGAAAATACCAACAAATACAATTTTGAACAGTTTTGAAACTTAGCAAGCTACAGAAACAGACTTCCTGGAAAGTCAGCTTTATATATAGCACCAGCAACACACAAGTTAAAAAGTCACTAAGGTATGTCTATTTGGGTGTTCAAAGTGCTTGTAGTAAAGTTCCAGTTAACTAGAAGGCAAGACAACAGCTAACCTATATCAATACACAACAGAAAGGTATAGCAGAAGAACAAAAGCAGTACCTCCTGCATCAGCTGCAAACACCTTAGCCCCATGGTCATCAAATGGAGGTGTGGTTTTCTTCTGGAAATATGGAGTTTCTTTTACCTGGAATATTCAAGTGAAAATTAAAATTAGCACAGGTGATAGCCATACATAAAGGAAGAACAGATTTTATGAGGAAATAAAGTGTTGTCCATTTCTTACTTCAGGAAGAAGATCTGATTAGAGAAGTTAAGAATGGGCTCAAGAGTACTAAAGGAAAGCCAATGAGAAAAACATACATTTGTGAATGAACATTTATTAAGCAAGGTTTACGAACAGTCAGTGAATGTTAAAACAGTGGTGACAGGCTGTAAGGAAACCCGTGACCCAGAAGTGGATACTAATGATCTGTCCGTGATCACTCTACACAACTGGAGATCTTGGGAGAGCAGTGCAGAACCACACAGTACCTCTAAAATGTTGCCCATGAGAGGTAGTTTAGTCAACTACATCTTGAGTTAAGTCACAATTTACCTCAAATCTTGACTTTGCCTTAGCTTTATTACATTTTGAGATTAGTAAGAAACTATTTGGGTTTGAAAGACAAAGACTAAGTAAACTAAAGACAAAGAATTCCACTGATTTACCTTTGACATAGACCATGTTCTGCTTTTGATAATTAAGTAACAGAATATTAAACCCTGTGATGCATCAATTTGAGATGGGAATGTGTTTTAACCACATAGAAAGATGGTGGCAATTGATAAGACACTTAAAATAATCTGTTTTAACCTAAATATATACATATGTACATATATATGTGAGGTTAAGTAAAGACATATAATTTACTACTATGACTACATATGCACACAACAAACTAATATTGTCATGGTAGCAGGAAGTTTACTGTGGGATTATGCACATCACTTCCTATTGCCCAATGAACATTTCAATTAGTTGGCTAACGAGGTGTTAACAAATGTCCAGACTATGCCAATTCTAGTATAGAAGCTGATGTCAACTAAAGATCTTATGACATTATTTATGCTACCATTGTTTAACACTCTCCAACCTCGTCTGTGGCATTATTTGCCCAATACAAAACAATTTTCTGTAAACTGGGTTAGAACCTCTTGTTCTCCAAAAGGCATTCCTTGAAACTACCACATCCATTTTTCCCCATTTTTCTAGATCTAATCTATTCTGATGAAAATGCAACAGTTGACTACATTTCGGTATGAAAACGCAAGTAACTCCAGTAAATTATCACATACATACCTGAAATATTTCATTGATATCCACTGGGAGAGCAAGGCCAATGTAATCATCAGAGCTACCATATGTAGCATTAGAAACCATCGAGCGAACAGAAGACGAACGCTGAAGTGTGTTTTGGTTAATAGGACTTAACAGATCTTCTTTATCTAATGAAGCATAACTTAAAGCTTTCATGAACCTGCAACATTGAAATAACAACTCACAATCTCGGTACATTTCTCATTGTGGCACATACGACTGCTGACACAAAGACTATTCTCATCTTTCCAATGCAGAACCCAGAGCTTGTTACTCTGTCAAATTACAACCATAGGCTCATTGCTCTTTTCTGTCTCGTGCTGTATTGCATTGGTCGTTCCTGGGGTACATTTTTTTTTTTTGAAAGCCCTGGGAGAAGAACTTGAAAAATGGCAGGATGAAACTTCTGCTTGAGGGGCCGCCAACCCTGCGAAACCACACATTTTCTCCAACTTGCTAGGCTTCAAAGGTTTACAGCCCAGACACAGTCAGCAAATACTAAAACCGCTAACTGCCATATTTGAAATGTACCTATACACTGAGTGCATCTCCCCTGCATACGCAGAAACTCCAAGCTGAGCAGGCACATCCTGCAAATGCAAACTTTGAGCCTGCTACAGCACCAGCGATGAAAGCAAGGAACATTTTTTCCTGTACTCAAAGGAGTCACCCATTAGGTCACCTGAGCATGGAGGAAGAACTGGCTCAAGGTGAATGCGCAAAGGACAAACTTGAACCTGCGCAGTGAGCAGAGCTGACTGTGATAAACGGCCTGAGGAACAAAGAAATAGGTTAGGAAAATGGGATGGGAGAGAGGAGGCTGGAGTTGTCAGTGCTGATCGGAATCCTGATGATGCAAATTTCTCATTGGGCCATCTGTCATTTTACTTCTTGTTAAAGATAAAAACCTGTAAATGTTTTCCGCCAATCAACCCATGTAGATGGTCTATATGCACTGGGTTAAAGCTTCTGAGTAAAAAGACACCTCAGGAACAGTAAATTTTAATTATTTTACTGTAAATTGTTATACACTAGGAGGTAAAGTACGTTTGACTTCTTTTCAGCTTTAGAAATAATTTTCTACAGTCTTCTGGTTCAGATGGGCAATTAAAATGTATTCTTATCCCTAAGAGGTTAACTGATTTATACTGAGATAAAAATTAAATTGAGGTTTGAACACAAAAGGTTCAAGAGATTATTATGCAATGGGAATGCACAGAACACAAATTATAGGATATCAATAGTTTTCTTACTACTAAGCAATTCTGACCAATGCTAATGACAGTAGAAGTGGACTTACTACAAAAGTCAAGCCATATTTCAAAAGGACAAGAGGAAATGGCTTAAAGTTGGAGCAGGGGAGGCTTACACTGGGTATTAGGAAAAATTTCTTCACAGAAAGGGTTGTCAAGCATTGGAAGAGGCTGCCCAGGGAAGTGGTGGAGTCATCACCCCTGGAGGTATTTAAATGTCATGTAGATGTTTACTCAGGGACATGTCTTAGCAATGGACTTGGTAGTATTAGCTTTCTGGTTGGACTTGAGGATCTTAAGGGTCTTTTTCAACCTGAATGATTCTATGGTACTAAATCCCCTAAAATTACCAATTGCATTAGTTATTTGGTAATAAAGCATTCTACAATTACTCTCAACATAAAACAAAATATAGAAGTACTAATCCTAAAATTTGTCCCTGCTTTTCCTGGAAAAGTTAACAGATATATCATTAGTAGTGATAAATAAACACTGGTAAGTTTTTATGAAAGCATGCTGGCAGATGGTTGGGTGAAAGCCACACTCAGCATTTGTGATACACACATCAACATTTTGGTTGGTCTTTAAAGACAAAGGTGGGAAATCTAGCCCCACAAAATAAATTATGCAAAGAAATAAGCTTTTCAACCTTTTGATTGAAAAGAACTAGAAACATAAAAAAAACCCCAACAAAACAATTTATAGCTGCTACTCGCTAAGAACACATGACTTTGTCAATGAAGTAAGAATCAAAGAAATTTTTCTGAAGACTGACACAAAAATAGGCTTGGCAGAGAAAAAGGACAATATTTCCTTCCAATTTATTACTTTAACAGCAGTTAGGGACAATATTTAGCTGGAAGTAGTAACATACTCTGAAATTAAAAAAACCCCACAATTATTCAGTGCAGACACCCAGCTGTAACCAGTAAGAAAACACATGTAGTAGTTATATCATAGTCTCGCCAATCAATTATCTAAGTAACCAACACAACTGGACAATCTCTTGTAATAAGTACGTCTGCAATTTTTTAAACCTTCTCTGAGTTACGAGCACTCCAGCTGTTTCAGTTCAATGTTAAAACTGGCCAGCTCAAATCCCTGAGCCTACCCACTGATATAAGAGACCAAGAACAGCTGAACACCAGGAATACTGCTAGTATTACATTGCGTGCAGTCTCAGGATGAAAGCCCACAGCAGAAAGGCTGCTTTGCATATCAAAGGCATGACTGCAAGGAATGGTACATTACTACAGCCACAACAGAACCTGTACACTACCACTGAAATGACACCAATTTGTTCCTGCATTAGTACAGGAAGCCAGGGACAAGAGAAAGAAAAAGCACTTCTGATTTCCAGGATAATGCAGCTTAACTACTGAATCACCCTTAATCACATTCAGTCTAGTTCTAACTTAACTGACCCAATGGAAAAATACTTCTCTTTTATGCCATCTTCGCAGAATCATGCAAAAACATCAACAAAGGAATGTTGCTCTTAATCAGGACAAAAATGCATAGTAATAAACAGGCACTCATATACACTCAGCTGGATATGCGGAGTGCAGTTCAGAGACTTGCTGTTCTGTGCAGTAAGCAGATGACTAATGTACTAATAGCTTCTCCCACTTCTCTCACCTGAGAGGATGTTTAGCTAAGAACTGAGATATAAAGTATCTTTTCCCTCTCAATAGTAATGTGAAAATCCAATGCACTAGCTAAAAGATGATCTGAAAGGAAAAATCTGGTAGAAGAGCATTAGAGAGAAAGTTGTTAAGCACTGACTGTAGTTGCTGGGAACAGTGTCAATGTCATCAGCTAGTATCTTATGTAACTCTCTAATTAGTCTTCAGAACACCTAATATTGCTCAAAAATAAAGAGGTGACACTGCCAACTAAAAATAATCCGGTGAGTAAAATCTTTGCTCTGTTGTAGCTAAGAAGCCAAACTGACATTCCTGTCAGTGGTACCAGTATCTCACCACTGGCCTCAGTGAACACGAATATAGCATACTGGCAGGAGTCTGTCCCCTAAACCCTCACTGAATGGCATCGAGAAAATTCTCATCTGAAATACTGCTCATGTAGTGTAGTCAGAGCTATTTTGTGTGATTGCAACTTCCACAATGTTAGCAGTGTGACTGCATTTAGATACTAAAAAAGTTAAACAGGAAGCCAATGTGATAAAAGGAAACATTTTCCTTTGCCATTAACAGCACTGAAAGGGCTGAGCACAGCTATAAAAGCCGGGCTTCTCTGACAGTACTTAGAGAGTTGAGAATTCTCATTCTATTATTCTCCTACTACTAATACTGCTTCGAGTTAAGTTATGAATCATCTTGCAACAACTGTCACTTCTAGGTGAAGTTGGGGGGGGAGAAGAAAAAAATGGTACTAGAAAGACACTTCTCTTATTTAATTGCCCTTACAGCTCAGAAGTAAGGAATGAGCACATTATAATCTCTTACCGGCTTGGGGTTAGCCGAGAATCCAGGCTGCCAGACTTCATGGTAATAGTGTCAGTAAACAGCACGTCCTTTGCTGGAGATGCCAGGGCTTCTGAGTGAGACAGTGAAGGATGCATCCGCTGCTGTTGTAAGCGTTTTAGTGTAGCATAGCCAAAGGCATCTCGAGAACTTGTGTAGCTAAAGTTATAGTCAGCAAGACTTTTTATTGTAGCAAGAGAAGGAGCTTTAAGAGACTGGGCTCTTCGAGGAAGTGTATGAGAAGAGCCTGGTGGTACCAGAGATACAGAGTTGGACTTCGAGATAGGCAGGTGGTTAGACTGTGGTGTTGAACAGAGACTTGGTTTAACTGTTTTTGTGCTTACCACAGTACTCAAACTTCCACAGTCGGTATCTACATTTGTAGTGTCCACACCTACGGTCTCTCTTGAAGGGCTAGAACTCATTGAGCTTATACCACTTGTTGTGGTATCTGTATTAAAACTTAAGCTACGACTCTTGAAATGTGTTTGTGTAGTACCATCTCCTATTAGCTTTTCTCTGCTTGTGTTTTCCCGGTGAATTTCATTTCCAAGACCTTTTGGCAGCTTCAGATCATTTTCACCAATACTTGGGGTACTATCAGTATCTTCCATGTGCTTACTTCCAACAAAAGAAGTTTCTAATCGTAAAGTCTGGATTTTAGGAACTCTGAAAACAGGGTTTAATTCTTCCCCAGCAGGAAAGTCTATGCTACCAGAAGGTTCTGTCACTGTACGATTTCGCCTCAGGACTGATTTACTGTCAGATGATGCCAGCTTTCCTGCTTTTGGATCACTGCTACTTCTGTGTTTTTTATTAGGGAGAGTAAGAGAGTTTAGAATGCGGTTTTTCACAAGCCTACTAGAAGAAAAAAAAGGAAAGGGACTACGGTCTTTGTCCTTTGAAGGTCCAGGTCTGTCATAAAATATTTGTTCTGCATCTTCAGTGATATCTAGGAAGAATGTGCTAGTGGAAGTACTACCAAAACGGTCATCCTCCATGATGAACATACCTGCAATTATATGAGACTTTGTCACTGGAAGTGGACATGTCTTTGTAACTATGTTGCAAAAAAGTAAGCAATTCTACAGAACCCAAAGTGGGAGACTGACCTACTGCAATTTTAATTTAACATTTTTTTTAACCCAGCGTAAAGGAGTACCTGAGCTGGAGGTCTCACTGCTTCAGAAGAAAAGCTACAATATCTTATTTCAGTGCAAATATCCAGTTACTAGGACTACAGTCAATGTGCTCCTTTCATTATATCTAAATATGGTATATTTCTGGATTTAAATTCTGAATAGCCATAGCAAAATTAAAACATATTAAATACTCAAAATATACAAGAGTTTAAATACACTAATATTCTCTGTGTGTGCATACACACAGAGAATGTATGTATTTATATTCTAGAATACTCCTTTGAGGACAACCAAGTAATCTTTTTACAAAAGCATGGAGATTTCTGCAGGGTATTACAGCAAGCTGCCATGACTGGACATAAAAACTAGTAATTTACCACTATATTAAAGTTTCTTACTTCTATATCAAATGTAAGCCTAAGACTTCCTTCTCACTTGTCTACATCTCTCTGAATGCATATAATTCCCTCCCCTTGCTTGCATTCTCCTTGCAATAACACCTTTGTACTGTTTGCCCAAACCTCACCCTGCCACAGTGTTGGTAAGAACACCAAAATGCTGTTTTGTGGTGGGTTTTTCTTGTTGTTGTCTCTTTATTTTGTTGCTACTTACTTGAAGGGGCAGATTCGCTTTCACTGTTGTGCCTAGAACTGGTGGATTCAGAGTTCAAGCTAAGAGTGCTGGGTATAGAGGAAAGTTCATTGCAGAGCTGCTCCATATCATCAGGGACCACTGGCCAAGGCTGTCTACGACTGTGTCTCACAGCATCCCAGTTGTGATGCTTCAAAATGTCACATCCTTGTTTAGTTTTGGCTATTAGACCAAGCACGTAGACACAGGTTCTGTATTTAATGTATACATAGGGGGGGGGGAAAAAAGGCAACAATAATAGTATCTAATTTAACTAAACTTGTTTCTGTTTTGAAAGGAAACAGCTTCAAAACAATTCAGCAGAAACTTCATGAAAGTGACAAGTAGCTTTTTGTTCATTTTTATTTGTAACTCAATTGAACCTTAAGAAATGCACTAAAATATCTGAGAACGAAACACTATTCAAAAATAAAAATTAATTATTACAAGAGCCTTATTACATGAAGTAGAAGTACCTATTTTTATTTTTTAAATAAAAGGACAAACACTAACGCAGTAGCAATATTAGGCAAAATACCATCTATTCAAATTTTAAAGATTCAAAAAGTTATTTAATAAAAATGATGGAATAATAAATTGATTCCTACAGAGATATAAATGGCAAATATCTAATTTTTCACAAAAGTCGAAATATGTATCTTTTTTCATGAGTTTCATTTGCTTACTGCATGTTCTTTCAGACCTCCTACAGAACTTCACAACTGATACTCTGTTATCAATGTTCAATTATCAATAACTTATTTCCAAGTAAGTGCAAAACTATGTTCATATGAATAATGTAGAACTATTTGAAAACCTATGGCAATTACCATCCGAAAATTTTATGTATAAATCAGATACACATACCCTCTAACAGAGAGAACTTCACAATGTTGGGCAAGTGCCATTATATCAGGAATTACATTCTCTTCTTGAAGCAAGTTAAGACCCCAATTTGATGATCCAATATTGCCCTGGAATAAAAGTTTGTCAAGTAAGTTTTGATTTTGACATGATCTGCAGTACTTTGACATTTTTATTTGTTGATAGTATAGTTTCAACCTCTATCTTCTCCAAGCAATTAGACATTTGAGCAGCCTTTTTGGCATTTCCTAGTCCTTCATATCCAAAAAAGGGCTCATTACACTATCAGCTACTACGTATTTCTCATTTTACCAACTCTACTGCAATCAGTAGTATGATCTTGGTTTACTCATTTTACATCCCACTTACACTGATGTTTTATTACATACCTACAGTATTTTCCACTGATAGCCACCTTGGGCGAATGTTCCAAAACAAACTTCGGGGAAGACAGGAAAGATGCAAATGAACAGTCGAGATTGCAAAGCAAATTTAACAGTGTAGCTTGGACAGGTGCAGACACTAGGTTTTTGCCTGTCCCAAGTATCAGGAGTGTCATGGCCATATATATTCACATTCATCAGTGTCAGCCAGCTCTTCCAGAAACTCTGAATTTTGGACCACCACAGTACATACTTTGAAATCAGACCACAGCAACTTGGAACTACTGGTTCCATACTAATATTGTTGCTACATCTTTTTATTTGTTAAAAAAGTAAAAACGAAAAAAGTGACTATTGAAAAAGGGAACAAAAGGTGCAGTGAACCACTTTCAACTAAAAATTCAGTCAGGATACAGAGCACCAACTTGGAAAAAAAAATAAGAAAATCACACATTTTATGACAAAAGCCCTAATTAATGATTTTATGGGATTTTGCTTAGGTATTTCAGAATCAAGAGTCATAACAAAACTCAAACAATTGCAAGAAGTTTGTAAATCTGTTACTAACCAAGGCCCAAAGGGCTGCTTTCAGCTGCTTAATTCCTTCCCACTTATCGAGCATTGGGGAACGAACAGTGTAACTTAGATCTGTAACAATACTCTGAAGGAGAAAAAGAGAAGAAAAAAACCCCTCAGTTGAAAATTAAAACGAGACCTCAGTCAAACAGGTTCTCTTGCATTTTTAATAAGAGGTAAAGCATTAATTTAAAGTATACAGCCTAAAATGTACAGTTCTGGAATAATAAGCATAAATTAACAGTAATGGCAATGCATTTAGAAAATTTCTATGTAACCACTGATTGCTTAATCTATTATCTTTATAAAATCTCAATTAACTTGATGCAGACTAACACAATACAATGTATAAACCTTCTCTTGAACTTTTCAACTATCATACTTAATTCATTACATCATCTTACAAGACCCTTGCAACTATGAAGTGGCTTAGGGTTTGTTTTCTTAGTTTTCAGAATACTAGAAAGTTGATTTTATTTCCTCATTTCCACATTTTTGTATGCATAAAAGGATAGGCAGAGTTTTACTTACCAACGTACAATTTGCTCACATACAGACTGAAAATATATTTGTGTTCTAAGATTTTGGTAGCCATTTTAAGGAAAATGTTGCAAGGTATTTCTCTGGCATTTCAGTTTCAGGGAGGAATTTTACGTGATATGAAGATATCAAAGACTGTATTCACAACCTTTTGGCTCCAAGTAACTTAAGACATTCATAATCAAATTACTTTGCAATGACTGTTTAAATGCCATCTCTTTTAAAACATTCTAAATGGGTTACAGTACTCTTTAAAGTCATTCATGTTATAAATAGTTACTATCCCCACCTGAGACTCCAATAAATGGCAGCCTGTTTTATGGTGCACCAGTTGGCCATAAAGGTGAACTGGCAGGTAGACGTGTGGTCGCTGTAATCTGGAAGAAAGAAATCAGAGGCTTTTCCAGGAATTCTGACATTTCATTTTAAAATAAATCACATTGCAGTGTAATGCAATGAGTCACTCTTGAGCTTTTTCAGACCAAGAGAATTCTTTTGGAGAATTTAGAAAATAATACAGAAAATAGAGTATTGCAGTTAGAATATTGGATCTACAGTTGGATCTACAACAATCATCTTGTTTAACTTCAGAACAACTTCAACTTCAGCCCTGCTTCATGGCTGACCAAAAGTTAAAGCCTGTTGTTAAGGGCATTGTCCAAATGCCTCTTATACACTAACAGGCTTGGGGCACAGACCACCTCTTTAGGAAGCCTGTTCTCACCACCCTCTTGGTAAAGAAATGCTTCCTGATGTGCAGTTTAAACCTCTCCTGGCGCAGCTTTGAACCAGTCCCATGTGTCTTGTCACAGGTTACCAGAGACCAGAGCTCAGCACTTCCCTCTCCACTTCCCCTCCTCAAGAAGCTGTAAGAGATCAAGGAGGTCACCCCTCAGTCTCCTTCCCTCCAAACCAGAAAAGCCTGGTTTTCCCAAAGGAGCTGGCAAATGAAGTTGCTAAATCACTGTCCATCATATTTGAAAAATCATGGCAGTCAGGTGAAGTTCCTGATGACTGGAAGAAGGGTGATATAACCCCCATTGTCAAGAAGGGGAAGGTGGCAGACCCAGGGAACTACAGACCAGTCAGTCTCACCTCTGTGCCTGGCAAAATCTTGGAGCAGATTCTCCTGGAAAGAATGCTGAGGCACATGAAAAACAGCGAGGTGGTTGGTGACAGCCAGCATGGTTTCACTAAGGGGAAATCCTGCCTGACCAATTTGGTGGCCTTCTATGATGGGGCTACGGGACTGATGGACAGAGCAGTTGACCTCATCTACCTGGACTTGTGCAAAGCGTTCGACACTGTCCTGCACAAGATCCTTGTCTGTAAATTGGAGAGACATCGATTTGATGGATGGACCACTCAGCGGATAAAGAACTGGCTGGATGGCCGCATGCAAAGAGTTGTGGTCAGTGGCTCAATGTCCAGTTGGAGACCAGTAACGAGTGGTGTCCCTCAGGGATCGGTGTTGGGAATATCTTTTCGGTGACATGGACAGCTGATGACACCAAGC